TAACATCTTCACAGCCAACAAGCCTCCAGCAGCCACAGACAAAGTATGGACAGCGTTAACAACATTTTCAGGACCTTAGGTGAAGGTAGTAGTCACCAAGTTGAAAATTCATTGTCATTGTAGCAATTTGCCAAATCAATTTCATTTTAAGGCAGTTAGGGGTGATGTAGCTTTAAATCAAGGTTAAAACAAACTAAAAGGAAACCTTTTTTCACAGTAAACACTGTGAAAAGGCTGTTCAAATATCATGATATGGATTAAGTTTTAATTCAAAGAAACATGTCCATTAAAGACAGTGCCAAGGATAAAAATGAAGTTAATTTCAAGTGCAAGTGCTTATGGAGATCTACAGTGCATAGAGGATGTGTTGCCCTCCTGCTAGTGAAAGGCTATTGTCACATCATGATTATATTATGCACTAGTGCAATTCGCATTATAACACATCTTAGGTGGTAGATTGCTCAAGGCTTGTGGCATGTACAAAATTTCAAAGGCAGATGTGCAAGGAATAGCTTCTGTGTGCAGAGAAGCAAGAGTATTATTTTGGAATTTTCTATTTTAACAACACATACACAGAATTTTTTGCACTCCTTTCAAACAATTGTTTAAATTTACATGACCCACATAGATGAGAATCTAAATCATTTAGATTCTATAATTCTTTGAAAGTTTATTTTAAACCTATCAAAGTCACTCAATGAATCACATAATAATGTGTCTGAAAAACAGAATAGATTTTGATTCTATTTTGGTCTTCTGCTAAAGCAAAAGAATGAATTTTTATGTGCCATGCAGACCTTGTTCACATGATGATTCTGCTGTTATTAGAATCATGACCATTTAAAGGATGAGTAAATTCAAGAACAACTGGATTCATAAAATATTCATATTTTATTACAGCATAGACATTGATCTTGGTTAAAGAGAAGATCATGAGTTTTACTATCCTTCAAATATGTAATCAAATGCCCAAGTACTCTTGTGACAAAAACATATGATTAAAATGAAATCTAAGAAAAACGAGTCCACACTGACAAAATCTTACAATCTGATGGTCACTCGTATGGCCTTGAATAAGAACCAGCCAATTATGCATGCTTGTTCAACAATTTATCATCTTACCATTCACAACAAAATTAAGTAAACTCAAACAAATTAAAGTTTATATTAAAATCAGAAATGCTTTTTGAAATATCTCTAATGAAATTAAAACAGTGAAAAAGATAAACAAATTCTAGAGGAACGGGTGAAACTAGAGTTCAGAGAATTAAAGAACATTAAAACACGACTATAATACTAAACTCAGAAAACATCACTAAACGTAACTGACTACAACTATAAATAAAACCAATGATATGACAAATCCACAACACTAGGAAAAAGAATTATTAAATAAGTTTTTATTTTAACCCTATTGCCCCGGGTATCCTTATTGCACACGACACAAGGTTTTAGTGTCTTACATTTAAAATTTTATTAAACTACTTTTTTTATGTTACACTAATTAGAATAACATAAAATATTAGCTAATAATCCATATTTTAATAGTATACAAGTTAAGTTCTTAATTCTATAAGGATATATTTTAAAAAATCCCGAATTTCCACTAGTGTGACACATTTTCTTAGCATGTCATCATCCCTATTTTTATCCATCACCCCTCGAAAATGTACAAAATTAAACATAAAATACTCTCTATAAAATCGTTATTGCTCAAACAAACCATAATTTTTATAGCCTTCAATTTTGTTTGGTTACAGAGCTATCGAATAGAAAATCAGACCCCTCCTGCCACATCCTCTCGTTCACAATTCGTTAATAGTTCTCTCTTATGTTTCATTATATATTACATATAACCAATAGAAAGTCAAGGTTTTCATCTATCAAATGACGTATTGTATAATGTTGTGTTCTCAACAGAATATCATCAATTTCACTCACAGTATAATATTCTTTCCCGTGGGAAAGTTAATCACAAGCTTGGATGAATTTGTAATGGCTCTTGTCGCATAGTTAGAAAGCCAAGAAAATTTTGAGAGGTAAGTGAATTTGTCTACTTTTTGCATGTTATTAGTCTATATTCTTTGGTGCAATATTTAATTAACTAAAAATTGTTAAGTGCATTACTAAAATTACTATAAAAAAATCAGGCTTAACTCTCCTTGACAACTAAGGGCAAGAAAAAAGAAGATTGGGTAAGTACTTTATTTCTTGTTTTTCACATTTATTCTTTATCTATTATCATAAAAGTAACTAAACTCTAAAAAATATGGATCTTTTCAAGTTATTAAGCATAATAAGCATATTAAGCGTAATATTGTCATCATCAAAACCTTGTCGAAACGTTGTACATTTGCTGTTATGTTAAACTTATATTACAGTTTTTCTTCATTACCCATTCAAGCCGTCTCCAGCCATAATTAATGTTAATTAAGGTTATTTTGATTTTTTTTCTGGTGGTTATGAAGTCGATCGATTTGACCAATCCCGTTTTGAGATAGGGTAGATCAAATAACAGATAAACTATAAAGTTTTACTGAAGAAAAATTTTTGAAATGCATTTAGGAGGTTTTAAGGAAATTTGCTATTTTTTGAGATGATGAAAGGTATCTTTAATTTTAACATGAAAATTACTTTGCACACGGACTATTCGAAACAAATACTCAATATATTCATGGACAAATCTTTATTTTATTAAAAATACTTCCTAAGAAATGACTTTTTGTAAGCAAAAGACTTGTAATATTAACTGAAAGACTGCCAAATTTCGTGAAGATATACCCAATATATTGAGTTATAAGTACTGAATTTATAAAGACTTTAAACAAGTACAAAAGGTCACGTGACTCGGTCAAATTGACCGACCCTGTAGTGAGACAGTTAATTTCAATATCCATTATCTAGTCCTGAGATTAAGGTCTATACATTAATGACACATAAATGTCCATTCTTTACATGCAACAAACAAAAGATAGCAGCTTTCTTGCAGCATAATCATCCTTCAACAGCAACATTATTGAACTGACATCTCAAACCCCTGCATCAAAACCTAAAGTTCTCTTATAAAACCTAATAAATGCTTCTCAGATAGGTTACACGAATATATCAAATGGAAATTACATATATTGAAGGCCTTAGCAACAAGACCAAAATGTTGTACACTTCTAGACTGAAATAAAAAGTAGATCACAATAGATTCAAAGTCAGAACATCACATATGATTAGAGAGACAAATTGGAAATAAACACAACATTTAGGATCTTATACAAGAACATCTCTTAAACCCACTAAAGATCTAAAGGTTTGGGCTATTTGTGATTTTTTTTTGATGAATTCAAATTGTTGATAACACTTATAGATCAGTATGTTTTTCCACATTAATAGTAAAATATTTTTGAATACAGGAAGTCTACCAAGTAATGGTATACAAGTACAGCTGTAAAAGATGGCCTTACACTGCACAGATAGGGTTATATATGTTTAAATGTATATAAATGACTTTAATGTCATTAGCACAAATGAAAACTACAACTTGAAGTTGCAAGATCTATAATCATAAACTTAAGATAATTTCTATAAATCTAAAAAATTCCAAGAATGTTGAAAAACGTATCTGTATTTCCAAAATTTCTAACATATGATGAAGTGGAGCAGAAGCATAAAGGCTAAAATTATTTACCTACTTGGAAAATGAGACATATACTCATTTTTTTTATAGGGATATCAATACACATTTTAAACCAAATCATATGCTTTAATTAACAGGGAAGACATTCTAAAGACAAAAATCCTATCTATGTAATTAAACTTTAAACATGATGGTAGGTCTATCCAACATTTTTTCAAAATAAATCTGAAGAAAAGCATTACAAAATGAAATTAGCTTGATTTAATATATCAGCCCTACAAGTTTAATCAAGTTGTGGTATTCCACAGTTTACCAGCTAACCAATTTCTGTAAAAATTAAGTTTCACAAACCTAGTAATTGGAAGGACAGGTACAGTAATCTGTGCATATGAAGCGAGACAAACCACAGAATATTCTTGAAATAAAAAATAGTATTTTATTCAAGGAGAAACAAATGAATGCCTCATTGTTCAATGTTAAAACTACTGCATTGAAGAAATATTAAGCTAAAGAGCAAAATAAACTGCATTTAAGTAAAAAGAAAATTAGTTTCCTAAAACAAACCAGAATCAGCTGGTTAACTAACTGATAAAGCAAACACGATTAGTAGATTAAAATTGTAAAGAATAGGAAAAGAATGAGATTTCTATAGACATCTTGGTTCCTTCATTGTCAGAAACAAATCTTATAAAAAAAATGCCAAAACCTACTCTCAAAATCTGAATTCTCCCTGTAGCTGACCAATCATAAAAATGGATTACAAGTATTCTGAAATTACACTAAACCAAGTGAAAGTCATAAAGAAGTCTTAAACACAAAGGGTATTGTAGCATACATAAATAGCAAATGATTTGGACCACATTTAACACATCTGAATTTGATCTTTGAAAAGATTTTGTAAAAATAAAATGTATATCATAGAGTATCGGGGTACAAATTGTGTGAATACCACACAATCCAATTTTCATTTTGTTCTGCTTCCAACTACAAACATTTTATAGTTACATTGGAAATAGTGTAAATGTTTAATGGCTATTTATTTATTTTTCTTTCTGTCCTACCTATGTATGGCTAGAAAAATGAGAAAAACTACTCACTGAACATTTGTGTGTGTAAAAGTGTAATGAAGTATATTAACACATAATTAATCTTCTTGGTATAAAGAACCAATTTTTTTGCTACTTACACAAATATACACTTAAGATGGGCAATTACCTTTAGCAAGGTTAAACAAATAGTCTACATTGAAACTCAAATAAATTAAAGTACAAATTATTTTCCACATTACAGAGACGGAGGTAAACAGAAGTTTTAAAATAAACGTCAGCATACAAATTAGCCCAGATACAAATACATTATCAACCAAACTTACTTCTCAGTACTTCCACAATGAGTTTCAAGTCTCTCGTGAGATGCCTCACTTGGTTGAAGTTGGCAACTGTTATGATTGGGACATATTGATCACTATCCATTTGAGAAAGAAGAAATGTATCATGGGACAGATTCTCTCTGGAAGAAAAAGTTTTTGTTTTACGCATTAACAAATCAGCTGTGGAGTGAGAGAGAGAGAATGGATACAAGTCATATTTGTATACAACAATTTTTTATTTTTTGGATGGAAAAACCAGAGATTTTTACCAATGAAATTTGACCCCCCCCCCCCCAACACTGAAAGCCGTCACCGTGAGAACACAGTATAATATGCAAATAATTTACACGTAAGAGCAAATGTTTTGACATTAATAACAATTTATCGATATATGATATCAGTTGCTTTAAATAAAAGGACCCTTAACAGGCTTAACATAAAAATGAAGGACATTTTGAGAATTTCAGAAAATACAGCAAATTGTACACTATACTAATACATACAACATAAACCCATGTTAATAATGCAATATTTAATTCAAACTATACAAAATTCATTGAAGATAAATAAAATAAAATGTTAAACACAGCTATGAAGATCAGTCAAGAGAGTAAAGATAAGAGTTGGTCTTTAAAAGTTGCTATGAGCAACAAAGTAATTGTAGCTAATAATTCAATCTTACAAAATACATCTTTATAATAGAAAGGTATCACATTAAACTGTAATTCTTATGTACATATACAATAACCACAGAAAGAGTCACCAAAACACTGACTGAATAAGCCTTGTATTAAAGATTTATGGAGTGGTTGAATGGTTTCATAGAGAAATAATAATAGATAATATACAAAAATTACAATACGCTTTATATAAAACTTACTTGCATGCATGTACACTGAAATTCTTTTACACTAGCCTTATGATTGTGAACATGTACAGTACAAGGCTGATTTTCTAACACATTAATTTAATGGATTGACCAAGACTGCAATTAAAACACACCAACGTGCATCAATGAATAGATAAAGATTTCTTTTGGATATGAAAAAAAAAACAACTAATTCAATGAGTAACAGGCTTCACCAAATAGTTGACTATTAGAAGTCAAGTCAACATTTACTCAAATATCATCACTGTTAATACACCACTACCACTCCTTAATAAAAAGCTTTATGTTGCTATATCACCCACACCATAGTTTGCAGAGATGAGACATTAATGCTGGGTGGAAATCGTGTGGTGAGCCAAAAATCTATAATAGTGCTCTATTTATTAATGCTTATGTTAATTGTATAATACATTTTTTATAAATTTGAAGCAAGTAGTATATCTATCCCAAGTAACTAACAATGAGTAGAGTTAAAAATATTAAAGGAGTCTATAACCAGAAGATTTTAGTGATTTTGTAGTCTTGAAACTGATCCTATACAACAGCATTAAATCAAGACATTTCAAAAGGTAGAATATTAATCATACCTTGAGAAGTAGTACTCCAACTGTCTCTGTAGCATAGCTTTCAGCTCTGGCAGACTTGGCTTGTCTTCTCCTGACTGAGAACCTTCAAATTACACAAAGGGGAAGTGTTAAATGCTCTTTTCATGTCTCATGATATTTCTTTTAGTAAAATAAAATGTACTTGATAGCAGAATTTGCCCGATTAAAATTTTTTTTGAAAGTCAGAAATTAAAACTTAGGTAATATAAAAAGTTGAATTATAAACTACATTTTGGTGCAAAGAGTTCATTGGCATACGTTGATAATAAAGTTGTTTAATTAAATTTTGAATGTAATTCTGTAAAAAGTTGTGACATACAAACTTTGACCTGGCTTAAGTACATAGGGCTGACAAGTTCTCTTGTAAGCTACAAACATTTCTAGGACCAAAATCTCATAACTGAGAAAATCTGTAATTTAAATAACATTCGTTCTGTTAGCCTGACTTCTATGTGCTACCTATATGTTTATACAAAGTAAACTTTTACCAGACATGTACGGTGCTTCGTATGCCTGTTCAGAGTGAGGATGGTTATTGTCCATTCTGCTGACTCTTGTAACGTTTGTCACTGATGTTATGCTGTTCAGAGTAAATGAGTTCTATAGAACAGAATTTTCAGTTATTTCATACTCCTGAGTTATATTAAATCTTGTATCCTGAGTATCACACAAAGATCTTCTGTATAGAAAAAACATACAATATATTACACATTAAAATAACTTATGAAAACATATTCTAAAATGTTTAAATATTACTGATAACTAATTAATTTAAGATCCATGAGAAATCTTAACACTACAGACAATAATTTAATCATGCACCCAAAACTTGATCGCAATATGTGCTTCTTTTTAATACTCTACTATTATTATTCTCTAATTTCTTTGTCCATCCCAGGGATCATTACATAAAGTACTAGGATAGTCTAACAGAAGTGAAATAATCCACATTTAGAACAGCTAATGGCCACCCTTGGTGCTTGATATCAACCTCATGTTAAAAGGTACTGATCCAACTATCATGTAATAAAAACGGACATTCCACGATTCAAGCAGCTAATGACAGTCTTTAATGGTCTATATTAACCACTTTTTATTTGTCATACTTTGTAGATTAATTATAATGTGACCATCAACTTTTATCTAGAATATTACATTTGAGTAGGAAACCTGAATAGTACTTACAGTCACAACAGGCAGGCAGTCTTGTTCCACATACACTGCAACCAAGCCTATTTCATGCTACGAGAAAAAAAATCATCCTAATTTTGTGAAATGATTTTCTTATGACAATAAAGTTTTATCTTATGTTATATTCACTACATGATAAAACTTTACAATAATATTATTATGCTTATCTTTGTGTTTAATACATGCATGTTTGTAAAACATCTAAATACTCCAGTTTATGGAAAAATACTTCATGAAAAATACCAATTCCAAATTACAATAAATCAGACATTTTAAGATTCCATGCTGAGTATTTCAGACTAGACCAGAAAATGGATACAAATGGAACTTGAAACAGTTAAAGAAACAAATGAAGAGAAAGAAGAAACCCCACAATAGTCTTTGAATTATTATAAATTTAGAATGAAATACGTCTCAGTGAATAGTAACGTTGAAACTTATTATTCATTGTTTATAGTCAAGAAGCCCAATGAAACACATTATTTTATGAAAAAATGAACATGAGAATCTCAGCTTTTCTTCTATTTTTCATCAGATAAAACCAAAAATTCTACATAACCTCTACACCTTGCATTAACAACTTGTTTTATAACAAGTAACAAAACTTGGTTCAGTTAACCAGAGCCGCAAAAATACATCTCTAGTTAGAAATTTAACAAGTATATCTACATTTGATTTTTATCACATTAAAAGAAATTTCTGTGCATTTTGAAGAAATCCTAGTAAGATGAGAATTTGTTCAGGTTCACATCTTCAAGGACATGGCAGCATTTAGCCTTAAGAGAGGCTTCCTTAGCATTTGTTAATGTACATACACTGGGGCTGCTGCAATAAAATGTTATTTCTTATAAAGTGAAACAGATCTAGAATAAACAAATTTCTGACTGGAAGTCCGTGTAAGAATAGTTGAACGCTACAGCTTCGAACTTCAGTAATTTTCCATCAGATAAAACAGCACCTATGATTAGTTACAAATGTCTGATGAAGTACAGGGGAAATTTGTTTTTGTTGCAGTAAAAATTTTTTGGCTGTCATGAAGAAAAGTTGATTTCCTCACTTAACAGTAATAAAGGTTATGGTTTAAATATTTACATGATGATGATTTACAATAATACACCAAAAACCACATTGACAAATATGCTTGCTTGTCATCACCCAATTGACCAACACAGAATTTCATAGGTAGGTAGGTAAAGTTTTTGTTTTTTCTTATTAATATACATATATATATATATATAAATATAAAATA